AGGTTGACACCACTTTAATTGCCATGGCTCGATGCTATGGAATTCTGGGATTTGTACTTTTGTGCCTTCTTTGTCAGAGCACTCTGGTGCCACAACAAACTACAGTTCCCAGAACTCCATAGCATTCACCCATGGCAGTTAAAAGTGATGTTAATCTGGATTATTTCTGCAGTGCGGATGTAGTTGAAGTGGTATTATCTAGCTCAGGGGTGAGGAACCTTTTGTTCTATAAGTATGGGGGGTTGCAGACTGCCAGAAATAGTGCAAATTGAGTCCACTTTTAGGGTTAGGGTTAGGGAATCATGGGAACTGTATTTTATTGTGGCACCAGAGCTCTCTGACAGAGAAGGCTCAATGTCTCAGAAAAAAAAACAATTCCCATGATTCCCTAGCACTAACCCTAACCCTAAAAGTGGACTCAATTTGCACTATTTCTGGCAGTCTGCAACCCCCCCTAGTTTGGCCTAGAATTCCCTGCATGATCAATGTTAGGAACAGTGGGAGCTGTAGTACAAGGTGTTTTGAGGAACAAAGTTTCTCTAGTTTTGGTACAGATACAAGTAGAAACAGCTGAGTTCCACAACTGGGTGCCATCCATGAGACTGCCACTCTAAGTGTGCAAATGTGTGTCTTCCCGATCTCGTGCTCACTTGATAGAAATAGACTTGGATTGCCTTCTAGATTGAGTCTCATGTGTTCCAAAGAGTGCAGGAAAGTGGAAAAACAACTACTGACCTTGCACCAAAATGCATGGCTGGTACTATTAGTTTCTATTGTCGACCCTCTTTTCAGGGAGAATGGATTGCGTTTACTCCTTTCTTCCTCTCCTTCAATCATTACAGCACTTCAAAGCATCATCCATTTGTTTGAAGGAGATATTCATGTGCAGCTGTGTGCACAAATTTCTGTTTTACATCCCACGTCTCAGCCTCCTCATTCCTGCCAGACATGTCTCTATTATTCATATTTGAAAGAAGGGGCATTGAGCCAGAGAAAGATCTAAAGTTGATTAAATGAAGATTATGGCAGAAGTTCAAGCCAAAGTTCAGTATGATCCAACGCACTGGACTTTCTGTCACTAATTTTTTCCCCCTTGCATGTCTTGAATTTGGCATTTGGTGTATGAAGGCAGCCTATGTTCACATTCTTTTTGGAAGAAAATCAGTAATATCTTTAATTCTTTAATTCAGTAATTGCAGATCTAAAACGGGGAATTTCATCATGGCTGTTTCCCTGTAGAAAAGGTACGGTACTCACTTCTGACAGCATTATTGTAAAGCTATTTATAGGAATAATCTCCAGCTTCAGCCAATGCCTCCTTCAGGATGTTGCAAGCTAGAAATGATTCATTGTGTTGTCAAGAACAACAGTTCTGCAGTTCTCTTCATTATATATCCTCATAATATGATCTGCGTTGAGAATCTGTCATATTTAATGGGTGTCACATTTAATGTAAAAACAAAGCATTGAAATGAAATGAAAACAGTGGCAATGGGGTTTTTAAAAGGAAGATAATTAGTTTAAGTAAATAACAGAACAGTCTTGCTTGTCCTGTGATCTTTAGCTGTTCACTATATAAAAAGCAAGTAATAAGAAGTCATGGGTATACTTGCTAAGTTGACAGTAATTGAAGATAAGTGGGTGCATACCTTGAACAGCAGTTGTTACTGTTTATCATGTTAAACTATTTATTTATGCTGTTCAATATGGAAGCATATATCTCAGCAAAATGCACAATAAGATCAGTTTAAACAATTTACAATAATTAATATTTAAAATAGAAAAGTACAATCCAAAAGTATGTTAAGTTATATAACGATTTGAAATACTTAAAACCATGTACATATGCAAAGTTACTAAAATTGAATTTTTAAATAAAAAAGACACATTTTAACTTGGCGCAGATTAGGCAGTCCAGGTATTGAGGTTCCAGGCTGTTTCGGGTTGAAATACCATTCCAAACACCTTGAATTCAGAACAAAACATATTGGCAGCCAGACAGCAATTCCTGTAAAAATGGTGTCATATGGTTTCTATATGTGCTCCTGCCAGTAATTTGGGTAGCACAGAATCCATGATGGTCATGTTTCTTTTTTGTTTATGTAAACCTTTCCCCTTACAAGGTACCATTTCACATTACACAGTTATAACACTTTAATTCCACTTTAACTGCCATGGCAACGCCTTATAGAATCCTAGGATTTGCTATTTGTTGTTGTTGTGAACCTTCAAGTTGCTTCCAGCATATGGCTGCCCTAAGGCAAACCTGTCATGGAGGTTTTTGGCAAGATTTGTTCAGTGGGGCTTTGCCTTTGCCTTCCTCTGAGGCTGAGAGAGTGTGACTTGCCCAAGGTCACCCAGTGTGCTTCCAGGGCTGAACGGGGATTCACACCCTTGTCTCCAGAGTCATAGACCAATGCTCAAACCGTTACACGATGTTGGCTCTCATTTGCAGTTTAGGGAGCGAAATTTATCAGGGAGAAAATTCTAGTGCCTCAGCTGACCATGAACTCCACTATTTCATAGAATATTGCCATACAAGTGAAATCATAGTAGTATAATTGTGTAGCGTAAAGGGACACAAAGAGTGGAGTCAGTGGAATTTGGCCAGTCACTTGCTACATCACCAGGTGATCAAGGCAGCTATTATTATTATTATTATTATTATTATTATTATTATTATTATAGTTGACAGTGTCAGCATGCTCACATGCTCTATGCTATGGTGTAATGGCATTGGAAATCTCTGCAGACCTCTTCCAGTAATCTGCTTTTCCTAGATGTGTGCGAGTATAGACATGTATCTAGAATTGTGTGGGGTGAAATGCAGATTCAGGGAGGGTTTTGAAAAAACAGCAGATGAGAAGTGGCACACATATACTATACCACTTTTTAAAAAACACATACAAGTATGTTGTAGCATTGATACACTTGACCCTCCATATCCACAGATTCTTTATCCACAGAATCAACAATCCGCAGCATAGATATACACATGTAGTCGTCCCTTCTGATTTGTAGGGGATCCGTTCTGGACCCCCTGCCCAAATTGGAAAAATCGCAAATATTTGGGTCCCATTGTTTTCAATGGCCATGTGCTCCTGCATGTGCTCCATTTTATCCTTCCCCACTTTCTGGTCCGTGAAGGACCAAGACCACAGACTTCAAGTCTGTGAATGGAGAGGGACAAGTGTGTGTATAGCAAACCTTGATTTTGCCATTTTGTATAAAGGATACTACTATTTGACTACTCCACTGTATATAATGAGACTTGAGCACCCACAGATTTTGGTAACCACAGGAGTCCTACCACCAAACCCAAGCGGATGCCAAGGACCCACTTTATATGCAGTTTGTCCCTCAGCTAAAGGAGTACAGTTTATTCATGACAACCATATATAGGCTATAGCCATCAACCTCAGCTAAAGGAGTCCAAGTAACTCCCTGTAGCAGTGGTGTAGTATAATGTTGTATTCAAAGGTTGCAGCCATGTTGTGTGGGAACCGTGGGATTCCAAACTTGGCAAGTTTTGGTGTTTTAGAGAAGACTTGGTGCTGAAGGCTGTAAGCTGCAAATCAGTGAAGCTTGAGTTCACAACTTGAATCCTTCTGAGCCCATCATATCCCATGGACCTGGGTGATAAGCTGATTTAATTTCATTGACTGCAAAGGGATTAAATTGATACAAACCAAAGTGCTTTTGGCATAAATAGGTCATGGAAGGGTCTGTAGATAATTTCAGATGCTTCTGAGAATGCTTTCTTTCACTTTAAAATTATTTCAAGCCACCAGAAAAGACTTTAACGTCAGTCACACAAGTAGGAAATCACAGTCTGTTGTTCCAATCAACTTTAAGATCAGGACACATCAGTGGCCCTTTTTACTTGTTTTATTTAGGATCTTGCACATTAACTCATCTTTTTATCAGCGTGTTGCAATTGATTTCTTCATTTGACTGCTGTCTTTCTGTTGTGTCTTACTGGGTAGTAGCTGGAAAGAACTACC